TGTTTTTGAGGTGATTTGTTGTTGGAATGTATTCACCTATTTTAGTCTGAGTGTTCGTTGGTTGAAATATTTTACTCTATATAAGGAAGACATGGAGAAGAACGGTTGAAGAAGAGGCGAAAGCAGCTGGGCACACATGGGCACAGATAAAGGGGGCAGCCCAAAACCGAGACCGATGGAGATGTGTGGTTGCAGCCCTTTGCTCCCCAGGGGCCACAAAGGAATGATGATGAAGGTTGATTTTATGTTGTTGTGGCCTTTAAGCCTTCATGCTATTCTATTTATAGTAGTAGCCTACCTGTCGCGAGTTGCTCCGATCTCAGAAGAAATACAAATATGAAAACACTTCATCAAAATTATGGTATTATTTTGTTTTTGTTTTGGCCAACCAAAATAAACTTTTGATCGTCTGCTAATTAATTTCTTCATATTCTCTAATTGGAAGATCTGTCAATATTGAAAAAGTGTAATATGGTTGGAACCAAATAGAAATAACAGATAAATGTATTGTTTAAGCTATAGATGAAACATAAAAATGCATTATAAAGCAGTTAACATTTTCAATAGACAACTCTTGTAGTGTCACATGTCTTATTGGATGCCATATTTACATTGAAAAACATCAACTTTCTGTTATATTGGGGGAAAAACGACTTTTCCGGCTGCATAATTAAAAGTGTTTCTACATTCGAATATGTCTTTTATTTTATTACCGTATTTAAATACAATACAATTTCTTTAATTTCTACACATATTGCTGAAGATACTGATCTCATAGCATCGGAAGAAAAAATTACTACAGACAAACAGATTAGAGAGAGAGAGAAGTGCGCAAATGGGCTTTTATATATTAGGGCTCGGTACGTAGTTTCTATGCTATTAGATTGATACAAATCTTACTTTTTGTATGACAGAAAGCTTGAAGGAAATTCCGCCAAATTTTTTAAACATCATCAGTTGTAAAGGCTACAAATATTCTGACCTTTGACCTTCACAAGCAGAAGTGAAGCCATAAAAGCGTTAATCCCCTTCTTAGCGAGCCAGAAGATGTGTAGGTCAGACTGGGTCAAGAAGCGGCTTAGTCTACAAGTACTTTGTTTCGTTTTTTTTTTCAATTGGAGTTTTTATGTGGGGGGAAATCTTTTGTTTTCATGTCTCAGCGTGAAGCCTTGATCATCTCAATTGTGTATTTGTTAAGAATATATATCGCATGAAAATAATAATAAAAATAATAAATGTAGTGTTCGCCCTAGATAGTGATGACGTCATGACGAGAGTGTAAAAACCAGTGGTTAGGCTTAGGGATTTGAAAAGGGATAGGATTAGGGGTAAGATTAGGTATAGGATTAGGATCTGGAGCCATGAAGGCAACAATCCCAGACTGACAGGTCTAAAGCGGATAATGACGGCATGGCTTAATGAATGTATGGCAGCACAGTTGTGCTTGTTATTCCTACATGCAGGTCGTTATGGAACCGTTGTAGGGTCGTGTAAGTCTCAATGACACAAGAAAAAATAAATTGACCGTAGACAGTAACAGAGGGAATTTTCAGTGGAACATGGAACAGTAACAGAGGGAACTTTCAGTGGAACATGTTGCATTGTCTCGAAAAAGGGCAGATTTTTGTTGAAGCGTTTTTAAGTCTTGTATTTTATGCCAGTATTAGAGCACCCAGACTAGCTCACGTCAAACCAGAGATTAGGTCTTTAACTCATGAAAAACGGAAGGTTAGGTCTTTAACTCACGACAAACGAAAGGTTAGGTCTTTAACTCAAGACAAAAGAGAGGTTAGGTCTTTAACTCATGACAAACGAGAGGTTAGGTCTTTAACTCACGAGTCACGTCAAACCAGAGATTAGGTCTTTAACTCACGAAAAACGGAAGTTTAGGTCTTTAACTCACGACAAACGAAAGGTTAGGTCTTTAACTCAAGACAAAAGAGAGGTTAGGTCTTTAACTCATGACAAACGAGAGGTTAGGTCTTTAACTCACGAGTCACGTCAAACCAGAGATTAGGTCTTTAACTTAGTCACTACCACCAGTTCCCCCCTCCCTCCTCCCCCCACCCCCACTGACTACCGTCTTTGATGCTATCAATAAGCTCCGTGTAAGTCTTGGCATCTGATGTCTGTCACTGAGTGTGTACATCACACCAGACTTGGTTTTTCCATCTTAATCGCTATTAAGCTTAATCTCCCACCCCCATCCAACCCCCCCACCCCACCCTACCCCACCATCAACATCTCAAACGGTTGTCAACACGTCCAGACTTGTGGAGGGTGGGGGAGGGTGGGGGAGGGTGGTGCCAGAAAAGTTAGTTGTGTACATAAAAGTGGGTGGCCAGTGGAACATAGAAACTAAATTGTGTACTGTAGGCTGGTGTACTATTATCATCGCGGGCACCACAGGGAAATGGCGCGTTTTACTTCAAGTGCGATGTGAAAATAAAACTTTTACTTCCTGGCATTATGGGGAACATCACGTGGTTTATTGGTGGTTGTGTCGGTCGGATTGTAGAATATCTTGGTGGTAATGTCGGTGGGATGGTAGAATATCTTGGTAGTTTGCCAGTAATGTGGAGGGTGGACCTAGGGTAGAATATCTTGGTGTTTGTATCGGTGGGAGGGTGTACCTAGGGTAGAATATCTTGGTAGTTGTTTATGCCAGTAATGTGGTGGGAGGGTGGACCTAGGGTAGAATATCTCGGTGTTTGTATCGGTGGGAGGGTGGACCTAGGGTAGAATATCTTGGTAGTTGTTTATGCCAGTAATGTGGAGGGAGGGTGGACCTAGGGTAGAATATCTCGGTGTTTGTATCGGTGGGAGGGTGGACCTAGGGTAGAATATCTTGGTAGTTGTTTATGCCAGTAATGTGGAGGGAGGGTGGACCTAGGGTAGAATATCTCGGTGTTTGTATTGGTGGGAGGGTGTACCTAGGGTGGAATATCTTGGTAGTTGTTTATGCCAGTAATGAGGAGGGAGGGTGGACCTAGGGTAGAAGATCTTGGTGGCTTTGGAACGGCGGGAGGATAGAACAATAGTAGAATATCTCGGTGTTTGTATCGGTGGGAGGGTGGACCTAGGGTAGACTATCTTGGTAGTTGTTTATGCCAGTAATGTGGAGGGAGGGTGGACCTAGGGTAGGGTATCTGGGGTGGCTGTAGGACTGTCAACAAACAACTGTATTTGACTGTATCTTGGGTGGCTGTAAGACTGCCAACAAACAACTGTATTTGACTGTATCTTGGGTGGCTGTAAGACTGCCAACAAACAACTGTATTTGACTGTATCTTGGGTGGCTGTAGGACTGCCAACAAACAACTGTATTTGACTGTATCTTGGGTGGCTGTAGGACGGTCAACAAACAACTGTATTTGACTGTATCTTGGTGGTTGTAGGACGGTCAACAAACAACTGTATTTGACTGTATCTGGGGTGGCTGTAGGACGGTCAACAAACAACTGTATTTGACTGTATCTGGGGTGGCTGTAGGACGGTCAACAAACAACTGTATTTGACTGTATCTTGGGTGGCTGTAGGACTGTCAACAAACAACTGTATTTGACTGATTAAAATCTCTGACCTTTGTTCGAACTGGCTGTTGTGAAATGTAATCAAGATGGCCCGCTAATGGCTTTATTTTGATTTAATTAGTTTTTTTTTTAAACGTGGAGGCCATTAACGCCTCACGCGTGACTTCCAACACCCGACGTCCGGCAAGTTTCAACCGGGCATGACGTCAATGCCGTCCGTCAAGTTTCAACCGGGCATGACGTCAATGCCGTCCGTCAAGTTTCAACCGGGCATGACGTCAATGCCGTCCGTCAAGTTTCAACCGGGCATGACGTCAATGCCGTCCGTCAAGTTTCAACCGGGCATGACGTCAATGCCGTCCGTCAAGTTTCAACCGGGCATGACGTCAATGCCGTCCGTCAAGTTTCAACCGGGCATGACGTCAATGCCGTCCGTCAAGTTTCAACCGGGCATGACGTCAATGCCGTCCGTCAAGTTTCAACCGGGCATGACGTCAATGCCGTCCGTCAAGTTTCAACCGGGCATGACGTCAATGCCGTCCGTCAAGTTTCAACCGGGCATGACGTCAATGCCGTCCGTCAAGTTTCAACCGGGCATGACGTCAATGCCGTCCGTCAAGTTTCAACCGGGCATGACGTCAATGCCGTCCGTCAAGTTTCAACCGGGCATGACGTCAATGCCGTCCGTCAAGTTTCAACCGGGCATGACGTCAATGCCGTCCGTCAAGTTTCAACCGGGCATGACGTCAATGCCGTCCGTCAAGTTTCAACCGGGCATGACGTCAATGCCGTCCGTCAAGTTTCAACCGGGCATGACGTCAATGCCGTCCGTCAAGTTTCAACCGGGCATGACGTCAATGCCGTCCGTCAAGTTTCAACCGGGCATGACGTCAATGCCGTCCGTCAAGTTTCAACCGGGCAGTTGTATAGGGCACTCGGGCAGTTGTAGGGCACTCGGGCAGTTGTGTGAAGTACTAGGGCAGTTGTATAGGGCACTCGGGCAGTTGTATAGGGCACTCGGGCAGTTGTATAGGGCACTCGGGCAGTTGTAGGGCACTCGGGCAGTTGTATAGGGCACTCGGGCAGTTGTATAGGGCACTCGGGCAGTTGTATAGGGCACTCGGGCAGTTGTGTGAAGCACTCAGACAGTTGTATGAAGTACTCGGGCAGTTGTATGAAGTACTCGGGCAGTTGTATAGGGCACTCGGGCAGTTGTATAGGGCACTCGGGCAGTTGTATAGGGCACTCGGGCAGTTCTGTTATGCATCGTTAATCTACTATCGTGTGAACAACAGTAGAAGCGAGCCACTCACAACTAAAATCGATCTCCAAAGAATTTTCCTTCTCTCATCCACCTTCCCCCCTTCCCCCATTGTGAGTGTATGTCCTGCCCCTCAAAATCCCACTAAAGGTGTAGAAAAAATCCGCCACTAACTCCCCCCTAAAGATGAGAAAGTTTGAACTTACCCTAACAAGGTAATCGCTGGACGACATGATGGCCTATAGAACAACACCTAGATCAAATCTTGCATAGAACAACACCTAGATCAAATCTTGCATAGAACAACACCTAGATAAAATCTCAACCACAGTATCTACTCCTCCTCGAAGAAATGACCGCAACAACTGAACATTCCTTGAACGTTGTAGAACATTTTCTTCGGCCCCCACAACTGTAAGCTCAGCGTTTCAATGACGCCTGTCACGTGATGCCCTATTCACTGCTCACCCCCCCCCCCCCCCCCCCCCCCACTCAGCAAACGACAAGGTGCCGGCCATTCTTGAGGTAGACGCTGCTAACGTGTTTACTTCGTGTGGCGGGAATGACAACACTAGCGTGACGTCATACTGGAGGAATAGATACCGCTTTTCTGTGATGGCCCGACCACAGAACTACCACACACGTCAATGGCCCGACCACAGAACTACCACACACGTCAATGGCCCGACCACACACCCGTCAATGGCCCGACCACAGAACTACCACACACGTCAATGGCCCGACCACACACCCGTCAATGGCCCGACCACACACCCGTCAATGGCCCGACCACAGAACTACCACACCCATCAATGGCCAGATTTAGTCGTATGGGATACACTGGTCGATGTCAAGATTTCTTAGTGGTCAGTGGTCACAAATGTGATACAAGATTGGGCCTATCTCAGAGACTCATTGCTCTCACTGTACCGGTCACCACGCCACCAAATCTAGTGGCCTGTGAATTGTCTCATTCGTTTGGGTGTATATGGGTAGGTAACTAAGGGTTTACCAATACAAATGTGACTGTTATCCGCAACCCACCCCCACATCAACCCCTCACTGGGGTAAGACCAGACAAGTTGAATCTCAAATGTTTTTATCTTGATGGTTTAAAATGTCCAACACACTTAGATTTGTCAATTTTAATGGTGAGCTACGATCTTAGAGTAACATTTTGTGGGAGTTCTGGATCAGCATTTGTGGGGAGAACTGTAGCAACATATATGGGAGGACTGTAACCACATGTGTGGGGGGGACTGTACCCACATGTGTGGGGAGAGTGTACCCACGTTGTGTACTGACAAGGTCAAGAAATGTAGCTACCCATAAAAGTCACCAAAGGTCTTTAAAAGGTCACCCAACAAACAAATATCCCAGACTTGTCCAGTTTTTTCTCAATCGCAGTTCCTGATTCGGACAAGGCGAGTTGGGGGTGGGGAGGGTGGGGGTGGGGAGGGTGGGGGTGGGGAGGGCAAGGATGGAGGGAAGTGGAGGGTAGTGAGGGTATTCAGTGAGTCGACTGATACATCTTGAGAAAAAAATGAACGAGAAAACAAAAAAAAGGGGGAAATCATTCTGGTGGATGGGAAAATGTGGGTGGGTCATTCACCCTTCCCCTCCCCTCCCCTCCCCAACAAGAGAAAGACATAAATAATTCTAGTTACAGTTTGACATTACTCAAGCAAACAACTGTTAGAGAAGTATTTGAAATCAGATCAGTTTGTACGCTTGCAGCGGTTTTACAAATGAGCGAATGGTGGGGTGTGTGTGTGTGGTGTGTGTGGGGAGTGGGGAGTGGGTGTGGGTGGGCTACCCTACAGGCTTACATATACAAGGCCGCCCTCACAATTTGGTATTTTGTTTTTTTCTCAAATATTTTTTAAGGGTAGGTAAAAAATAGTGAGAAGTTCTCTGGCTTGACACCAACTGCCAACAAACAACGGTACAACATCACAACATCGCAACATCACAACATCACAACATCACAACATCACAACATCACAACATCACAACATCACAACATCACAACATCACAACATCACAACATCACAACATCACAACATCACAACATCACAACATCAACATCACAACATCACAACATCACAACATCAACATCACAACATCAACATCACAACATCACAACATCAACATCACAACATCAACATCACAACATCAACATCACAACATCACAACATCACAACATCACAACATCACAACATCACAACATCAACATCACAACATCAACATCACAACATCATCAACACAACATCACAACATCAACATCACAACATCACAACATCAACATCACAACATCAACATCACAACATTACAACATCACAACATCACAACATCACAACATCACAACATCACAACATCACAACATCACAACATCACAACATCACAACATCACAACATCAACATCACAACATCACAACATCACAACATCAACATCACAACATCAACATCACAACATCACAACATCAACATCACAACATCAACATCACAACATCAACATCACAACATCACAACATCACAACATCACAACATCACAACATCAACATCACAACATCATCAACACAACATCACAACATCAACATCACAACATCACAACATCAACATCACAACATCAACATCACAACATCAACATCACAACATCACAACATCACAACATCACAACATCACAACATCAACATCACAACATCAACATCACAACATCACAACATCAACATCACAACATCACAACATCACATCATTACAATATCACAACACAACATAACATCACAACACAACATTACAACATCACAACATCACAACACAACATCATTACAATATCTCAACATCACAACATTACAACATCACAACATCACAACTTCACAACATCACAACATCACAACTTCACAACACACCATTACAATATCAAAATATCACAACACCACATCACAACACACCATCATCACAACATCACAACATCACAACATCACAACATTACAACATCATCACAACATCACAACACACCATCATTACAATATCACAACATCACAACATCACAACTTCACAACATCACAACTTCACAACACACCATTACAATATCAAAATATCACAACACCACATCACAACACACCATCATCACAACATCACAACATCACAACATCACAACATCACAACATCACAACATCACAACATCAACATCACAACATCATCAACACAACATCACAACATCAACATCACAACATCACAACATCAACATCACAACATCAACATCACAACATCAACATCACAACATCACAACATCACAACATCACAACATCACAACATCAACATCACAACATCAACATCACAACATCACAACATCAACATCACAACATCACAACATCACATCATTACAATATCACAACACAACATAACATCACAACACAACATTACAACATCACAACATCACAACACAACATCATTACAATATCTCAACATCACAACATTACAACATCACAACATCACAACTTCACAACATCACAACATCACAACTTCACAACACACCATTACAATATCAAAATATCACAACACCACATCACAACACACCATCATCACAACATCACAACATCACAACATCACAACATCACAACATCACAACATTACAACATCATCACAACATCACAACACACCATCATTACAATATCACAACATCACAACATCACAACTTCACAACATCACAACTTCACAAATATCAAAATATCACAACACCACATCACAACACACCATCATCACAACATCACAACATCACAACATCACAACACACCATCATTACAATATCACATCATCACAACATCACAACACACCATCATTACAATATCACATCATCACAACATCACAACACACCATCATTACAATATCGCAACATCACAACATCACAACACACCATCATTACAATATCGCAACATCACAACATCACAACATCATATCATTACCAAAATATCAACCCCCAGACAACATGTTGATATCTCCTGCCTTAACCTAAACCAGAGGTTCTTAACCTGGGTTTTATCGAACCCCAGGGGTTCGGTGACTTAGTCTCAGGGGTTCGGTGAGTCAGTCTCAGTGGATAGTCGGAGGTCAAGACACGCGCCCGACTCATATGAAGCTAGTGGGGTTCGGTACCTCCAAAATGTTGAGAACCACTGATCTAGACTGATTGATGACTGTTTAATATATGGGCGCTCGATATTAAAACTATTTCGATACTGATAAATGTATCGATCTTGTTATTGTTGGAGTCAACGATCTCAGATATTTATGAGAGTAATCGATTATATGCGAGGTATCGTTCGATCGATCTGTTTGTCAGAGAACAACAGCATAGTGGTCAACACATGCTGGGGTGATGGTCAGTGTTGGCATGTAACGCTAGTACTGACATATGACACTGACATATGACACTGACATGTGACACTGACATGTGACACTGATACACCCATGTCAGCTAGAGATGTCACTTATTTTTTTATTTATTGGATAAAACAGAAATATGTGTGCAAAAATGGGGTATCGGCCGTTTATAGAACAACAGACAAGTGATCAGACAAACTTCTAGGCAGACATATGGACGTTTTCAAATAATTTTCAAAACCAACTTAAATAAATGTATCAACATTTCGTTCCCCTTGTCAGTTCCTCCAATGTTGACGTGTTCTCCAGCCAATCAAAAACGTCACGAACACGTCACTTCCTCTCTGTTGCGAGACGAGGAATTTCCGAATTCCGCGCGAGAAAACTTCTCAGATCGCATTAAACAATGGCGTCACACCACGCGGAAATGACGTCATCACGACCACACTTGACTTGCTTCTCACTGGCGGCGTGGCTTAATTTTAATTAAAACCAGGAGCCAATTATTTGCGACCAATCAAATGACAGGCGTGGGTCACGTGGCAGATGCCAAGTTTTGAAAATTTAAAATGTCAAGTTTGAATGGCGTGGAGTCAATGAAGGCGTCAGTGATGTGATATATCTGTGATTGGCTTTCTGGGATTGGCTTTCTGTGAGTGCTCCACTGGTGATGACGATTCTACACTCACATATAGGCCTACACGCAAACACATACATGTATAAACACCAGCATATAAAGACTACTCTTTGATATAAGCCGCGGTGTTAGGTAAAAGATAAACACTGCACAGCTTATACATGGGCGTAGCTGAGGGAGGAAAGGTCTGCTTCGATCGTCTCATATGACGTCATAATGTAGATACAGAATTGGGTAGGGGACGGTAGCACCGCGTCTTCCTAAATCGCATACCCTTTATATCTTTACCTATGTTTGCAT